TGAGTATCCTTGGACAGGTCCCTACTAGAACATGTGGGAGAACTCCTCCTGGATAGATAGATCCAGAACAGATGTACGCGCTATTTAATTTAAACTGTTGGAGTCCTCTCTAAATGGCTGTGCTGGTATACAATCACTCGAGTTGTAAGAGAACATATCTGTCTGCCATTCTCCCCACCACTGGAAGGTATCCACCTCTATCAACCAGACAGTGTTGCCAAAGCAAGATGCCATAGGTGGGGTGAGGCTGGGGTGGTGGCAGTAGAGCCAAACAACAGATGGCTATTTTTTTTTTTTACATAATTCTGGCAGCTAGAAGTTCAACTTTGAGGTGCCAACAAGTATGGTGTCTGGGGAAGGATCTCTCTTGCTGGCTTATGGATGGAACCCTCTCATAGCCTTTCAGAGAAGGATATACCTGATGTCTTCCTCTTCCAAAGATACCAGTCCTATCAGATTAGGGCCAACTCTATGACTTCATTTAAATGTATTTACTACCTTGAAGGCACTTATATCAAATACAACTATCCCTAGGTACCCACGGGTATTGGTTCCAGGTTCCCCCTTGGATCCTAGAATCTTTGGATGCTCAAACCTTTTACATAAAATGGTGCAGTGTTTGCACAGACCTGATGCAAATTCTTCCTCATACTTGAAACCATCTCTATATTACTCATAAGACTTTGGACAATGCAAATGACATGTAAATAACTATTATGGCTCATTCAGTGAATAATGGCAAGAAGAAAGACTGGGCATGTTCAGAACACGAGTAATTTTTTCCAAATATTTCCAATCCATGGTTGACTGAATCTGCAGATAGAGCAGAAGATGGGCAATATTCCTCCCAAATGGCATCTATTTGTAGACTTTTTAAGATTTGTGTTATACCTATTGACTTTGCTGAACAGGAATAATTTCAAATTCACCAATATCTCATTATATAGTTTGTCTTTGGAGTCTTAAGATCTCATCACATCCCAGAATTAATATAGCTGTCTCTTCCAACAGTGTCCTAGTTTTACCTTCCATGCTGAGAGTGTTAATCCACATGGTGGACATTTATTTCTGTGTGCATCTGTGCATGGAAAGTGAAGAGCCAGCACCATTTCTGCTTACATGAGTTGGTTTCCTAGACCATCAACTAAATGGCCAAATTCCCAACACAAGGGCTTCTCTTTGAATTCCACCTGCTTACAGACCTGTCTCTGTAACATAACACTTTAGTTATTGTGTCTTTGTGGAACACTGCTTTTTCTGACAAACTTTTTATTCTTCCACATGAATTTTCAAGTGTGTTGAGTTCCTCTCTCAGCCTTCATCTGGACATCTGATCATACCCACATTGGATCTGCCTGTATATTTAGAAGAAAGAAATACTTTCACAATGGGAGACACTGTCCATAGGTTTAGTTTATTAATCAGATTTTACTCTATGCCCCATAAAATCCTATGAAAGTTTTATGCATAGTTTCTCAAGTTAATCCCTCGAAAATGTATAGTTTTTGCTGCAGAGTAAGTGATTTTCTTATTATAATCCTAGCTGGTGTTTTTGGTACAACTGGGAGAGATCTTCAGCCACAGCTTCTACTTCTTAAAATGGGTCCATTTCTTCTTTGTGGGAGACTTGGAGACATAAGTGCTCAACAGAAAGATATCCTGGGCTCACACCAGGCCTGTTTTCTCCATACCCAACTCTTACACAGCAATATAAACATCATCATCCCTTCTCCATTTCCAGTTATTGCGCAGGGCCTCCTGAAGCACAATGCTGAAGGCTGGATTCAGAGCATGCGGCTCCTGGACCGTCTGAATGTCTCAGGGATGGCAGCCCCAGGGATGGTGGGCTGGCTGATTGGTGGCATGAACTTCCAGCAGCAGCAAGAGATCAGGTGAGACCCTGAATCCCTCTCCAGACTCTGGGGGCACTCTACAGACCTCTGGGTCAGAGGACAAAACAGAGAACAAGGCTTCTGAACAAGGAAGGCATTCAGACTCAAGGAAGGCAAGACACAAAACCCAAGATGAGAGCAAGCTTGAGGCCACTGTCAGGAGCTGTTTGGGGAGATGGCACATCAGGGCAATTAGCAATAACAGCTCAGAAGCAGAATGTCTGCACTTAAAGCTCACCTTTGCCTCCAACTTTGGGGAAATGGCTTGGCCATTCTAAACTCACCTGTAAAACAGACACAGAACAGAGCCTGGATAAACACCTGGGTTATCAAACGAGACCGGGACTGCAACCAGACACTTGAATCTCCACTCAAGTGGGGCATAGCTTTGTGGCTCTGCATGAGCAGTGGACTACACTGCCCACAAACCTTGGGCCCTCAGCAGAGAAACAGTCACAGTGATGGTCCCACTGCCAGAGATGATGGGGACTCTGACAGGCCTGCACAGAACCTCTGTAGTGAATACAGGGGACATATAACTCTTGGTAGCTGGGTTTCCCATGACAGTACTGGGTACATCCTACCCGCACCCACTGAGACTGCTCCCTTGAACCTTCTATTTCCCAGGGCTCCATTCTGCCCTGGCAGTGCCGTTCTTCTGCCCGCTCTGCTCCTGAGCACCTCCTCTTGACCCATTTCATTTGACTCTTCATTTCTCTCCATCTGAATGAGCAACAATAGTCACCAGGAGGGTTTTCCTATGAAACATGCAGCCAAAATCACCCTTTTTAGTTATTCCTTTAACATATATTACAATTATCATCAACCATCTATTGTGTGCAAATCACATTGAAAATAGAGCTATGAACAAGACCTTTACCTTTGGGGAGCTTGCATCCCAGTGAAATGGGCCTCGGAGAGCAATAACTAATTCCAGGTGATGAAGAGACATGCCACAAAAAACAAATTTAGCAAGGTGAGGGGTGGGAGTGAGGAGGCTGATCAGGACCTGTCTGAGAAGCAGCCCTGGAGTGCAGAGAAGAGGGCCAGTGACATGGGGGATACGGGAGAGTGGTGGAGGAAGAAGAGGCTGTAGGTGCAAAGGCCCAGGGGTAGGAAAGAGACGGGTGTGTCTGAAGACGAGAGAGCACCCCGCATGTCAGCGTCAGCAAAGGGTGGGTGGTAGAGGTGGGGAAAACAGTGTCACAAGGCAACTGTGTATAGACCCCGCAGGTCCATGTCCATGGTGTACAGTTTGTGTATTATGACAAGAGCAGGGAGGAACCAGGGGGAAAGAGGCTGTATGCAGGCCACCCAGACTGCCTCATGGAGAATAGTCTACAGAGAGGCCAAGACTGCAACAGGGAGCCCAGGAAGGAACTGAAGCATCTTCAGGAAGAGATGATGTAAGCAACAGAGGTGGTTGAACTCATATATGTTGCAAGTAGGCCAAGGTGATTTGCAAGTAGCAATATACCCAAAAACATGGGGGTATAGTGTGTGGGAAAGCCAAGGAGCTTCCCTGTGGAAGCTGTCCCAAACAGATGATGGGGCTGTCTATTACGATGGGATCCTTGGTCTGAGTAGTGGCCCAGGGTCCTGGGAGTGAGGATCCAGCCTGTCAACATCTGGCTCTGGAATGCACAATCTGCAGCTGTGGGGGAATGCTTCAGGAGCCCTGGGACAGCTGGCCACTCAGGCTGTCAGAGCATCTGCACCAAGCTCTGATTCCCAGAGTGACCACCTGCTCCTCCCTGCAGTCCAGACTGGCCTTGCTTCTGACTTGCCATCCCTCACCTTTGTGGGGCCTCTGCTTTTTCCACGGGTAGCATCAACATCACCAATGTGCAGCTGGACTGTGATGGAATCCAGATGGCTTTCCCTAAAGAGTGGTTCTCCGCAAACATCACGCTGAAATTTGACATTGAATTCCAACTGTGAGTCCTACCCAGCAAAGCAGAATCTCCTGGGCAGTGTTCTGCACTGTTCTGACTTCTCAGGGACCTGGGAGCTCGGGGCGGGGTTGGGTGGCAGACTAGAAAAGCCAGATTAGGGGACTCAAACCTGAACTCAAATCCTGACCTGCTGCGCTAACTCACTGTGACCTGGGATGAGTCACTCTTCCCTGAACCTTCGTTTCTTCTGTTGCAGCAAACATGACACTCGTAGCAAAGGGGTCATTTGCTCATTCAGACCCATGTGACATCATCACCTGGGTCCAATGAAAGAAAAGGAGAGGAGCCGCTCCTCCTCTCCCTCTGCTCATTCCCCTCCTGCTCGGACTTCCTGGAAGGGAGCCAGGAGATGCAGCCACAGGGAAAAGCTCTTAAAAGAGCAGCTTACCCTCAACTCTTGAATGTCCAAAGACTCCTAAACTGACCTCCTGAAGCAACTTTCAAACGTCACTCCAAGTTGGGAGTGGGGAGGGAGTGTGGGAGTGGGTTCAATGGTGGAGCCCACGTTTAACACGCCCAGGCTTTGCATTCCATTTCTAGCACCAGAAAAAGAAAAACAAGCACAGAGGTCCCTACGGTCAATGGCTGTTTTCTCCTTACTCACTAACCTAGGGTTTAGCAGACACGGTTGTTGAGAGGACAGTGGGTGGTGCCTGGCTTTGCCGCTCTTCTTGCTGGCTTCCCCCACTTCCTCCTACTCCATCCCTTCCGCCCCCTCCTCTCTCACCACAGGCCCTTCAATTCCAATATCATCAAAACTCATGCCCGCATGGGCCTTGCTTCAGAGTCCTGGCTGGAGAAAGATGAGTTTGGCCGGAGGGAGCTGGTGATGGGCAGATGCCACATGGAGCCCAGCAGTGAGGATTCATCTATGTCCACTGAGTAAGGCCTACCGCCCTTCTGGGGCAACCCTGACTCATGAGCAGCTGTGGCTTCATAGCCCCAAATGTCCTCATGAGTCCAAAGCAGATTTCATCCCTTCATCGGGACTTGTTCCTCCTGTGTCCCCCTCCCAGAAGCCAGGCCCTCCCTCACTGTGTTCCCTGACCCTGCCCCATTCTCTGCCCACCACAGAAATAAGTTCCTAATGCCGAACTCTGCTCCTTCCCCCCCACTTTCCGCTCCAAAGCCTTTAAGGGGAATAACAAATTCAGAAAAGCCTCTTGAGCCCTGTGTCCTCATCCCGGCCCAGGTCTGTGGCCATTTACCCTCCACTAACAGTTACTCCTCTTCACACCCCATGCCTGCACATGGTGATAGCTCTTCTAGAATGCCTTTCTGGCCTTTTTAAGTACCTCACGAAGATATCCCCAAGTATTTCTCAAGAGGCTCCTAGTGCCAGGCACCCAGCCTAATGCTTAGAGACACCAGAGTGGACAAGACAGGCACAAGAGTTGCATGGGGACTGACCAACCAACTGTCCAACTCAACACACCACCGGGAGGGGTGTGCTGATTTCTCTCTGTAATTCCCGAGTGCCGAACCACGACATCCTTCATGCCTGCCATGTAGACATCAGGTGTGTGGTGCCAACTTAGCAGACATTGGCATGGTAGAGGAAGACCATGAACTCTAGTGCTATCCTGCCGTGTCCTGATAAGACTCGGCACTTACTCTCTGTGTGACCTTGGCCATGTCACATCACCTCTCTGGGTCCCCACTGACTATGGCTGACAAGAATTACCTTGTCAAGAAGGCCAAGCTAGGATGCAGAGTGGGAGGGTGCGTTCAGCACTTCCCTCCCAGTGTTAGTGTAGCCTGGACTGATGCATTCTGTCCTGAATTCCCACCTCTTTTTCCAGGGCAGTCCCACCCAAGATGAAACATTTTCTCCACAACATCCAAGAAAGCCTGGGGAAGGTTATCCCGAACCTAGTAGAAAGTCAGGTAAGGTGTCCGTGAGTGCCATCTGCCCCACAGGCATCCGTGAGTCTGACCATCAAGGCACGCATCTGGGTAATTCAGCAGAGCACTTCTAACCCTGGGTTTTGGAACCTGACAGCAAACCCCATCAGATTTGTTTCCACAAGCAAGGGACAGCCACTCTAAGTGCCCATGTCCTCATGTGTAGCACAGGCAGTTGAAGTCCCCACCTCAGAATTGTGGGGCTTCAGGAGGCAGGGCATGGGTGTGCTGTGCATGGCTCCTAGGGCCTGATTGGGTTCTGCTGGAATCCAGTGGTGCTGGGGCTCTTTGCCTCAGAGACCTCAGTTCCTTCCTATCCCTGGCTGACTCCTTCTCTGTGCTGGGGATCTAGGTGTGTCCTCTGATTGCCGAGATCCTCCGACAGCTGGATGTAAAGTTGTTGAAAGGCCTTGTGGGTGAGTGTTGGGGTCCACCCTGGGAGGCTTCATTGGGATTGGTAGGTACTAAGGGAGGAGCCATAACTCTCATGTGCTGTAAGAATGCATTATAGGGACTCAATTGTAATGTCCCCCTAAAAAACTAGAAGGAACCCCTGCCAATGAGGCTGTATCCTACCAAGTCACCAGACCAGAGATTCTAGCTTCCCCCAAGAGCTTTGCAAGTCCAGTAGGAAGGATACCCCTATCTAAACTCAAGACTATCCCTACTCCAGAAACAGGTAGACTGCTTCAGCCCCTGCCCTGGTAGAGTTCACAGTCTTGGGAATGGAGGGCAGGAAGTCATCCATCAGGGGATGTCATTCTGAGCAAGTGATGGGAATGCTCCTGGTCCCAGCCCTTGGAGCATGGATGGGAAAACACTCCCTTCTCTGTGGACCTGGGGATTAGAAGGGTCACCTAGCAACCAAGACTCCCCTTCTCCTTTCAGAACAGGTGGCTGCTCATAATCTTGGTCAAGCCTGAATCAGTCAAACCTTTTGGGCGCCAGGCTCGAGGGGCCTCCCACTGCCTGCCATTGGTCAGAAGGAGATAGTTCCGGTTGAGACCTTAAGTCTCTCTTAATGTTGGTCTTCTGCTGTCCCCTGGAAACAGGACCCCCAGGTTCCAAGACATCCTGTCCTCTCCAACAATAAACTCTAACTCTGAAGGATACACTAGCCCCGCCTGAAGGATACCACCACCCCCTAACCCCACCCTGCCTTGAGCATTTGTGCAAACATCCCTGACTTGCTCATCGGCCCAGTAATGGTGGGAATACCCACTCAAGCCTGCTGTTTGCAGCCCGGGACCTTGCTCAAAGCAGGGAAAGGCCAGAGGTGTCTCACTTCTCATTTGCTCATCTATGTTTAGCGAGCACCTACTCTGTGCCATGTCTGTTGCTGGGCTTCCAGAAGTCACAGAGAAAACATAATAAAGCACGAATACAAAAGAGACCCATGATCAGACCAGACTCGGCTCTATGAAAACAACCAGTGTCCCCAGCCCCAACAACAAAAGATGGTAAGAGAGTAAGCTCGGCAAAGGTTTGGAGTAAAATGAGTGGATGACTCCTGGCTTGAGAACTCACTCTCTGTGTCTTAGACAAAGGCCCTCACCCTCACCTGCAACGTGGGACTAAAAATTCTACAGGACCCATAGCACACTGCTGGCATCAAGGAAACCACACCACCACTTCAGGACACTGGCAACATTCAGTCAAGCTGAGCGCTGCACCTGCTCAGTAATGTCACAGGTTCACCACTAGGTGTCAACAGACAAGGGTGCCATGGTCACAAGAGCCCTAAAGTGGCCATGTTCCTGAATACCTCCAGAGAACTGACAGGCAGGTAGGAAGGTAGGAGAGTCACACGTTGTGGTGAAACAGTGATGAAATGACCCTCCACTTCACCCAGTCATTTGGGTGAATCTTCCAAAGTTGCATCAGAAGAGCCCGCACTGAAGGGCACGTGCAGCAACTCCAGTGACACAGAGGTCAAAAACGGCAACGCTAATGAGTGCACACTGCTAGAGATCAGGGTAATGATGGTAGGCGAGGCTCAGCAACAGGGAGGGACTTCTAGAGAAGCGGTCACGGTCTATTTCTTGACCTGGTGCTGGCTGTGGGGAAAGGTGTTCAGTCTGTGGAAAACTCGCTCAGTTATTTGTGTATGTACCTTTTTCTAAGACACAATGCAGTTTAACAATTTTTAAAATAAAATATTTAGCATGCAGCACATGTATGTGTGTGGAGTATACGAAAAACCATTTGCAAGATGTTTTCCATGTGGAAAATGTTTATTCAAGGCCACTGAGTTCATTGTTAACTATTTGCCTACTGGCTACTCAGTGATTGAATGTTAAGTCCCACCCTAACCCATCAAAGGTTGAAGATCAGTATAATATACACATATTAATAATAGTAGCATGGGCTAGAAAGATAGCTTAGTGGTTAAGAGTGTTTACTGCTCCTCCAGAGGTCTCAATTTCAGATCCCAGCACCCATGCTGGGTGGCACATAACTGCCTATAATTCCAGCTCCAGGAGAACCCAGCACCTCTTCTGGTTTCCATGAGCATACACATGGCACACATACACATACCCATAGATAAAAATAAATCTTTAAAAATAAATAAATATTCATTTTCATTGATTCCAGCTGGATCAAGAACAGAAAGGGAGAACAAGGAAAAAGAGAAAAAGAGACCATGATAAATGAAGAGCCCATGGGAATAGGAAGAAGCAAAGTGCTAGAGAGGTCCCCAGAAATCCACAATGATACCTCCACAATAGACTACTGTCAATGGTCAAGAGAAAGCCCGAAATGACCTACTCTGGTGATAGGAATGCCAAACACCCTAACTGTCATGCTAGAAATCTCATCTAATGACTGATGGAAGCGATTGCAGAAACCCACGGCCAGGCCCCATGTGGAGCTCTGGGAATCCAATCGGCGAGAAAGAGGAGGGATTGTATGAGCGAGAATTGTTGAGACCAAGATTGGAATAAGCACAGGGACAAATAGCCAAACTAGTGGGAACGCATGAACTATGAACCAAAGGCTGAGGAGCCCCCAACTGGATCAGGCCCTCTGGATAAGTGAGACAGTTGATTAGCTTGAACTGTTTGGGAGGCCCCCAGGCAGTAGGACAGGGATCTGTCCTTAGTGCATGAGCTGGCTATTTGGAACCTGGGGCCTATGCTGGGACACTTTGTTCAGCCTGGAAGGAGGGGACTGGACCTGCCTGGACTGAATCTGCCAGGTTGAGCTGAATTCCCAGGGGAGTCCTTGCCCTGGAGGAGATGGAATAGGGGGTGGGCTGGGGGAAGAGTGGGGGGCAGGAGGAGGGAGGACAGGAGAATCTGTGGCTGATATGTAAAATTAAATTAAATTATAAAATTTTTAAAAAGCTTAAAAAAAGATGGCACTAGACAAAATAAATAAATAAATAAATAGATAGAAAGTAGTAGCACATATCATAAGTACATGAAAAATCTTTAGCATTTCATTAAATGCCTCACAGCAACTCCATGAGTTATAAAACTGTCACCCTATTTACATATGAGAATTCTGGAAGAGAAAGGTACTTGTCTAAAGTCACACAGAGGGGAACTGGCCATGTCAGCCCCGTCGACGCCATCAGTCACACGCAGGCAGCAAGATTCCAAAGCTCACACTCTTAATTGTGAACTCTCACACACACCCAAGTCTTCCCTCCTTCCCAACAACCCCCTCCAACCTTCCCTCCCCCCCCCAAGGGGAATATGATGAAATCCAGGTTCAGGTGAATTGACAAACTCAAACAAGGAAGTGTTGACAGCTCAGAGATGAGAGGAGGGCCAGAGAACTTCTTATCTCCATCTTTCAATTCAGACTCCCTAATCCGAAATGCTTCACCGGGGATTTGCAACCCTAAACGCCATGTTCCCGAACATTCCACTTGATAGCCTTTGGCTTGCAGGGTTCTTCCTGCTCTTGAGTCAAAGAGCAAACACAGGAGGCTAGGCCAAGGGCTGCTGTTTCCTTGGGGGACAGCTTTTGTCTGCATTCCTCCTGGCACCTCCCGGGTCTTCTCACGGTCTCCAGCAAGATGCCCCTAATCTTGGTGTTCTCTAATCCTGTCTTCGTTATAAGGTTCACAGAGTCAGAGCTTTTCCACACTTGCTCCCAGGACAGCTTGTTGGACTATGGATCCCTCTGGTGCTCTTAGGGTTCACAGTGATGGGTAGATAAAGCAGAAATGTATCCCCCAATAGTTGGAACTTTTGTCCAGGTCCCACCTCTGGGTGCCTTAAACGTTCCTTGCCCTCTGGTGTCCAGACAGCCTTTGAATGAGCTCTGTAGCTGGCGCTACACCACTTTCCCCAAACTTTAGCCTCTCACAGCCTTGGGACATGTTTGTGCTTAATTCTATGTTATAGGGGAGGTAACCTAGCTCAAAGAGAAGCCTTGAGAATGTTCTAGAGTTTTCCCTCACAGTTCCTATAGTTAACAGTGATGTAACTCATACTCTAAAGACCACTGAGAGGCTTTAGGTTGAGTTATTACCGCAATTTTTTTTAATTCAAAAATGAATGAAATAGAAAAGAAAGAGAAGCAAAGGATGAGGAGAGAAACGTTTTTCCCAGCGTCATTCAGCTGGTGATGAGCCTGTCAGATTTGGAACTCTGCACCCACTGATGTCATGGCCCATATGAGGCCTCCAGAGAACATGGCCACTTCTTCCTGAACTGAAGACTCTGCAAACTTGTCCTTGCAAGGCTCTGAAACAATAAGCCCTAAATGAGGATAACCTGTTGTCACTTGTCTCTAGCTGAGGTGACCTCAGACAGGTCACAGCTTTATCTGAACCTCAGTTTCCTCCAAAAGATTGTGACAAACGGTATCAGTCCCCAGTGCCTCCTAAGAGGATTTTGCCGCTGTCTGTCCCTGATGCTGGTGAGGTCAGTCTCAAGGTGGGTTTGCCTGTGGCTAACACTGCCTGAGAAGACCCATTAGACCCATTTTCTCGTCAAACTCCCTTCTTCCCTCACCCCCTCTGCCCTCCAGAGTTTCCAAGTCCATCTGAAATCCTTCTCAAGTTTACCTCCCTGTATTCCATTCCCAATTCTAGAGAATGAACCTGGAATAGACTGTAATCTTTTAAGAAGGCAACTCAGCTCTGCTCTTTAAAAATAAAGCCTGTGTGGGCTGGGGCTGGATTTCAATGGTCTTTGGAACGTTTTCTATACCACCCTGCTATATTCTGTGAGATAGATTTTTCTTAAGCCTCTGCAAATCATGTCTTCTGTTCTTGGTTAATATGAAAACCAAAACTGTGATCCATGCACATCACCAGTATAGGCTCCGGAGTACAATCTGTATATCTGGGAAGGGGGATGAAGGGACACCACCAACATGTGACTTCTCTGAAACATATTGGGTCTCATCAGTGTCCCCTGAGGGTCTGGAACACTAACTGTGAGTCTTGCTGCTGTGTCTTCTCAGGAGCTTCCCTGCTGGGGCACCAAGCATGCAACCCATGGAACTCCTCAAGGAGCAATTCTAGCAGAAGTAGAGATAGGAGGTGTTAAGTTTCCTAAGTCTAAGGTTTGGGCCCAGCTAGTGAGAGCAGATGGATGGGTACCAAGGGCAGTATGGATGGGGAATGTTTCCGACTGAAATGCCCTGGCCCCTACTAGGATGGTCCCACGAAGCCATATTAGGTTAGAATTCATACAAGTTCACACTGAGAGAAGGGTGCTTTTACTGAATGTTACCTTAGTGTGTTTGCCTTATCTGGGACTTTTTAAACTCAGAGCAGAGTGCTGAAAATAACCATGTAAGGATGTAAAACAGGAGTTCCCACCTTCAAGACTAGACAGTTCCCTGTGTTGGAGCAGGGGTAGGAGGAATCCAAGAGAAACTGAAGAGAACACGGTTCCAGGGTTTCAAAAGGCATCACACACTGCCTCTCTCCCTCCCAAGACAGAACCCAGTGTGGATGGACTCAGGAAACCCCACAGACATGCTCAGTGGGGAATAAAGGGTGCCTGTGCTCACACCCCTGCCCAGGGCCAAGACAAGGAGTGACCCAAGGAGAGATGGTGAGCCAGAGGGCTTAGATGGGTACAGGCAGCTGGGCTAACAGCCCCCATAGTCTTGCCTGAGGGTATGTTCAGAGACGATGCTGTGTATCCAAGGAGGAGACAGTAGATGCTAAATCTGAGGAAGCCAGGTGGCATGGGATGTGCCTGTTTTTCCAGTCAAGGTAGCCTCCTCTGAGCACCGTGGCACAGGTAAGGCCCCTGGAGCAGAAATGAGACCTCAGAGGGAGATGAAGACATTTCTGTAACTGAACAAAATGCCATCGGAAGTAGCAGGTGTAAACCGGAAGAATGTGTGGATGCCTACCCTACCAAACGAGATGTGTACCAGCTCCCCAATTGTGCTCTCCTCACAGCCCTGAGGTGTGTGATGCCATCTCCATATTAGACAGGAGGAAAAAGCTTCCATAACTGGAGTGGCCCTCCCAGGTCAGCATATACCTAAGACCCAACCTGCCCTGCTTTCTGCTATAACAGATACCCAGCCTCCAAACTTTCAAGATTTCCATCAACTGAATACACAACCCCAGCTCTTTTCCAGGCCTTATCTGCCTCAGTTTACCCAAAGGTTAATAGCAAGACCTACTCTTAGAACAGGTTTAGGGGCATTCCTGTCATCCCAGCACTCAGGAGTCTGAGGCAGGAGGATAAGTTCAAGGCCAGCCTGGGCTTCATAGTAACTTCAAGGCAATCCCGTGTGATATTGCTTGGCCTGGGTTGTTCTCACCATTCAAGACCTCGGCCTCTCCCTGTCTTGGTTTTCCCCTCTGTAAAATAGTCCTCATAGTACTAAGTAGTGGAGAGTAATGCTTCATTACTCTATCTGAGGAAAGGATAGGGGTTAGGGGGGAGATCAGGCAGGTGCAGGATCCCTCAAGCATGGCAACCCGGAAAGATGTTTCCAGAACACAGAAGTGGAAAGTGGGAAATCAAAACAGAGAGCAAGTGTGAGAAATCAAACTGGAGAACAAGTGTGTGGAAGGCTCCAGCCCCAGTTTCTCACTGTAGAAACCAAAACCCCACCTCACCAGGATGAATGGACCTGGCACAGGCGAGGGCCTGGCAAGTATTCACTCCTGGCATTGGTTCCTTGCTGTTATTATCCAGTGAGCTGACTCCGAACTCTACCGCTTCCTCTCTGGACCATTTGTACTAACCGGGCCCAAGTTTCCTCCTCTGTAAGGAAACAGCAGTGACCTTTCTGTCCCAAGATCTTATGAGGACCTACAGGCACATGACAGCCATGTACCAAGGGCTTGAAAAACAAAAGATCCAGCTCGTACATGCACACAAATGAAACTGAAGGGTAGCTTAAGATAGGGAGGGCAAGTGTAGTTTGACTCCTAACACGGTGGGAACAAGAGTTTGCCAACTGTAGAAGGGAAGAATGGGACCCGGGGACGAGAGCCACATGAGATGAGAACAAGGTCAAGGATCCGGAGTGGTCTAACCGACTGCTCTTTCAACACTGAAAGTCTGGTCTTCCAGCCATGTGAGCAGGGGCCTTCAACCTCCGCCGCGTGCATGAAACCATGAAGTCTTGAGTAAGCCTCCATCTCAGATTTTCTTGTTTAATTTGTGGACTGAACAGCTTAACTGACTCACCTGTTAACCTGATTGACAATTATTTACTTTGGAGAGCCCTGAAAGACGCTTCCACATTGCAGAAATTGGAATTATCTCGAAGCCCATCAACCAATATTGGGTTTCCCAATTCCCATTCTATAAAAGAGGCTGATTCCTCAGTGGGAGACGTGG